CTACTAGTTTTATGTCACGATACAAAAGAAAATGATGCCAAACACAGAAGTTGAATATGTTTGAGTTAGTGATACTGACAGAAAAACAAAAGTTTGATTGAAGAACTTCTTAGAAAAGTAACAAAATAATAAGATGACAGTCATTTAATGTGATAGAAAGAGGTTATGCACTTATTGATAATGCAGCATTTCATTCCTAGACAAATTATTTTCAACTTAAATATAATTTTATTTAAGTTTATTGAAAGAGAACATGATGGGGACATTAATATATGGAAAGTTAATCATAAAAGGGGCCGTAGATCGACGACCAGGATTGAGTCGTTATATTATTAGTTGTTATGTGTGTTGTATGTTAGTTTAATTTAGTTTGCGAACTTTTTTTTAATGATATGTTGTAAGCCCAAGCTGTCTTTTGCTCTTGTCATGTTGGTGATGCCTATATATATGTTCACCCCCCCCCCCCCCCCCCCCCCCCCCCCCCCCCCCCCCCCCCCCCCCCCCCCCCCCCCCCCCCCCCCCCCCCCCCCCCCCCCCCCCCTTTATAAGGTGATGATGATTATTTGAATGAAATGAATTCTGATTTTAGCTCTCTTCTCTTGTGTGAGAGTGAGTGTGGTGGAGTGGTGAAGCCTTAGGAGAAGGCAAATGAAGTGCCCAATAGCCCATTAAGGTGAGCTCTTCTTTTTCCCCTTGTATCTCTTCCCCTTTCCCTCCTTCCTCCCTAACCAACGGTCAACCCCCTTCCACCGCCTATGGCAAGCCCACCACCACCACCTCCCCATCCAAGTTCCCAATCCAAAATTTCCCAAATATGAAATTTTGACCTTTGGGATTCCAATTGGACCACTCTTCATGTTAATTAATGGGAAGTTGACTCATTAATTTCCTCTCCTTATTTTCATTTTCAAAACTAGTTGGGAATTGAAAATACCATAACCCCTTCCCTTTCCCTATGGTTGGTCCACTCTTGAAACTCTTCAAGTTAATTAATAGGAAGTTGACTCATTAATTACAAAATTAACTTTATCTTTTCCCTTTTCCAAAACAAATTTTCTAATTTCCAATCCCACTCTCTCCCATTCCCCTAACCCCCACCACATCTGAAGGAAGCTTCCCTGCGATGCAAACACCCAAGTCTTTCTACTCTTACTTCATTCATTTAAGTAGATATCTTTAAAGTCAAATTCTTTGTGACATCATTACTTTCATGTTAATTTAAATCAACTAGCTTCTTAAATCATTGAGTGCATGATTCTCGTAGTGACTGATCTATATTAAATGTTGGATCTTTTTGCCAACCAATGCTAGCTAAGTTGTTGATTTGATTTATCGTTCTTGAATTCCAGAACTTTGGTTGTGGTTAATTGCTATTTGTGCATTGCCTTTCTTACTTGTTTGAAGTTTGTTTTAAGCATCCCCATGATTAATAGCTTGCTGATTTTAAATTTAACTTATATTTAATTTCATAATGCAAGTCTTCACATGCTAGTCCTAAACCAAAACATCTTATTATTGAAGAAAATTAAAGGAACCTATGACCTGACTAGAAAATGCTAAAAAAGGCAGTCATTATAGAGAACATGAAGTTTTGTGAATTCCTAGTTAACCTACATTATTAGTCTGGCGGAGATGCTGTGTTTAATTTTTTTTTCTAGGAGATATTGTATCAAAAAGTCAGTCTCAAGTAGGAGATTATTAAATGCGGAGCCCATTTTACTTTCATATTCAGTTGCGGTTCAAATTAATTGTTGTTTTTCATTGATAAACAATATTCAAAGCTCTGTTACAGACTCATTCCTATTTTTTTGTTCATTCAAATACTTCTCATCCAAGTGCATGCATTGAGTTACAAGTGTTATCTCCATGGAAATTTTTCTCCGTGCGATGAAACCAAATTCCAAAATGAATTTTTTGAGAACTTACATGACGGATTTGGATATGTTTGTCGTTATGTCAAGATGCTATTTGTTAGTGTACTGAGTACTATTAATAGTTGAGTTGAGATATGCGTTGGTGCTTAAGAGGGAAGCCTGTTGAGTATGAGTTGTGCTAAGAAATCAATGGGAGCACTCGTGGATTGGGATAATCTGTTGACTTTGTTCTAGCAGATGGATCAATTTTAGTATGTTGGTAAATAACATTCAGGTGCTAGAGTGGATGGATTCTTCAATGCAATTGAAGTCTTTGTGATGAGGAAAAGTCTTCACAATGGTGCACACAAAGTTTGATTGGTGCAGTGCAAGAAATCAACCAGTATGGTGATGCTGCAAAGGGCCAATGCTTATTTTTAATGACAATAGCAATCAGTTCTTGGTCATTTTAATCTTTTAACCGTTTCTTGAGGAAATTTTGATGAACTTTAGTAAAATAATTATGTGGTTGCGGGTATAGGTTAGAATGTGAAACAAACTTGCTAAACAACCTAATTTCTTGTGTCTTTGATGTTGAGTTTTTGTATTCAATTTTTTCTTTACATCCTGGCTTGGCTTATTTATTTTCTTGACAAAATTTGATACTTTGACCTGCGATCTCTGGCCTCAAACTCCAATGAAATGCGCAATTGAAGAAGCATACATGAATGATTACACGCACACCTATAAATACTATTGTAAATTGAATTGAGATAATTTATCTAGATTACGGACGCTTCAATTTCTTGCACTACTGAGCAAATATGTTAGATTTGGCTTTTTTAAATTACCTTGGTGGGAAGGGCTAGTTGAACTTATGGGTACCCAAATGAGCCCGTAATGGAAGAGTGCATCTTCTTTAGTAAGCGCTTATAATGTTTTCCAAATTCCTGCCTGAATGGTTAAGCAAATGTCTATGGTACCGTAAAATAGAAGCATTGGACATATGTTCATTTTGACTCAGCGGATGTTAATCCTCACAAAAGATTTCATTGTCACTTTATCCTCTGGGTTAATTGGGTCAATATCCAGCCAAAATGAAATATATATATTAGTAAATGTTTTATAAATGTGAGTTTTGATTAGTTTATGTATAAAACATGTTATATGCTTAATTGGCAATTATATTTTTTTCATTCTGCTATGTGCATGCAATTTCCATCGATTAATTCTTAGGCTTTCAATTTGGAAGTGTTGGTAGATAAACCATTTTTTTTTTCTCTTTATAAATTTTAAATATTTTCCATACTGGACCGGGAAGTGTGGGCCTTTGTCACTTGGTTGACACTGCCGGTCTGATATGTTTTAAATGTCAAGTAATATGGAAATGATTTTCTATATGCGAAGTTTTTTGTATGTGTGATATATGCTTGTTATCTGTTTATGTCCCTACATTTAGTTCCAATCAACTATTGTCTGTTACCTCACTCCCTTCTCATCCTAGGAGCGGTTTATTTGTTCCTTAAACATATGACCTCTAAATAGAAACAATCCCATTTGTTTTATGACTTTTATCTCAAGGTGTGACTCATAATTATTTGTTCCTGAATATTAGGTTTAATTTTCATAGCCTTACCTGATTGTTAGAAGATATTGGTGAAGTACAGTCTTACATACAACATGGTAATGATTATTTTACGGGTTTCCTAAGACTTCTGTGCTCTACCTGTAATTCATTATAATTTTTTGGTTTGCTTGTGCCTAGCTGTCTTGTCATTCCGTACATTGTCTGATTTTATTTATTAGTACTTCTGATCTTCTGCATGTGAGTGTGGGTAATGGCAATGAAATATCTGGGAACGGCCAGTTCAGATAACCGTATAAATGCACAATTACATGCTAGTGTATGTGTGTTTTTTTCCATCTTGCATGTGCGATCATTGTTGTTGGTATATAATTGGGAATTTAGAACACCCAATTTACTTGTTGGGGTTTACTTAGTGAATTGGGCATATGTTGTCTGATGTGATATAATGTAGATATTTCAATCAATGAGGTTTTATACATTTCAAATTGGTTTTAAAATCTTTTGCTAAATTTTTTGGGGTGATGGTGTTGGGTTTAGTTGGATTAGTTAGGGCATGTAGAAGGCATGCTCTAGATGCAAATGTTGTAGAATGAAATCTAATCTTTGTTTACCATGCTATTATAATTAATCATTTTAAAATGGAGGGTTTGTGTTCTTTCTTTCTTTTTTTATCAGAAGGGTAATGTCGTATGTTTAGTATCCATGCCCTATTTGCCTGATTCCACATGAAACTTGGGCTGATTAAAGTTTATAATTATGAATGTCTTGTTATAGAAAAATGATTAAATTCTTTTGGATAAGAGTGTCAATATTTAACCCTACTTGAAAACACGACCCGAACACGTCCCAAAAATTCTTAATTTGGGTCAACCAGGTTGCAAATTCTAACCTGATTGAAAATTCGGTTTGGGTTGGGTCAACCCGAAAACCCGAAATCAACCCGCATGACTTGAGTCATGATCCCCTTGCGCCCGCACCCTGCATCTGTGGCCTCGCGCCAGCCCCTGCTCCCACGACCGCACTTGTGCTAGCGCTCGCACATGCACTATCGCACCCGAGCTCGTGCCAGTCTCGTGCGTCCCCTCACCAGCTCGTCCTCGCACGCTTGCCCCCTTGCCTTCTGCCCTTGTGGCCCTTGTGCTCGCTAGCTCGCACCTTGTGGTTTAATGGTTAGCGGTTTGTGTCGGGTCAACCTAGGTTAGACATGGGTCAGGTTCGGGTCCATATATATGACTTGCGTTGCAATTTTGGGTCGGGTTTGGATCAACTGAATTGTACCTTGGTCAATTTTGGATTCAACTCAAATTCAACTCGAATACCCATTTTGACACCCTACTTTTGAATTTCTTTTGGTCTTTTTTTAATTTTGCGCTTCATTTGATTATTGTGATTTTTTTAAAACCTTATCAATACATTGGAGGATATAGGATAATGGAGCCCTTGCACTCATAAATCTCTGCACGTTATTCAAAACAAGCTATTCCTTTATTGAAAATTAATTTATGCTGTTGGGTTTTAGAACTTAATTATGGATTTGTACTATTCCTCAACAAATGCAGGATAGTGTTATAACCAAGTCCAGATATGTCACCAGCTTCGAAGTCAAAGTCCAAGGACAAGTCTTCTCCAAAGAAAGGCAAGGAACAGTCAAAGAGTTCCATGAAACCCTCAAATGCTCATTCAAATGGTCGTAATGGTTCCCCTGCTAGCTCTTACAATCCAGTTATGGGAAACTGTCACACCCTTGAGATTTCATCGTCTTCTTTCTCAACTCCTCACAGCAATGGCCGGTTTAGAAGCGTCGATGATCCAGATGATCATTCTGGGAGTTCACAAGGTACAACAACAGAATATGATTCCATGTCCAACAATGGTAGCTGTTCAGGTGAATCAGAAGACCAGAAGGATAAATCAATCAGCTCTCCAGCTCAACCAGAGACTATTCCCGGTTCCGACGATGGCAAACGGTGCAAGATTCGCCAGAAGAATGAGAGGAAGCACCAACGGCAGAAGGAGAAGCGAGCTCAAGAGCTGCATGAGCGCTGTATTTCATTCCTAACTTCCAGGAAGCTCGAAGCTCTTTCTCACCAGCTTGTGTCCATGGGTTTCCCTGCTGATCGCGCAACCATGGCCATCATAGCAAATGAAGGTCGGATGGAGGAGTCTGTCGCGTGGTTGTTGCATGAGGAAGAAGAGGATAACAAACAGCAGGTTTCAATTAACTTAGCGGACAAAAGCTGCATTAAGATTGATATTAAAGATGAGCTTGCAAGAATTGCAGAAATGGAGGTTCAACACAAATGCTCAAGGCAGGATGTTGAGAGGGCCATTGTTACTTGCGAAGGTGATTTGCTAAAGGCCGAGGAGAATTTGAAGTTGCAGAAAGTATCCGTTTCTGCAGCAATTATGCCCAAGCCAAATGAATCTGCTGGTTCCTTGCAGCTAAATGATAAGGAGGCAACAACTCATAAGAGCCCAATATTGATAAGAAATCCCATGAAAGGAATCACTCAACAACAGAGACTGGATGAAAGAGATTTTAACAACTCAAAAAAACTGGTTCCTGGAACTTCATCACAGGAATCTGTGAACAAGAACACTCAGCAATCACTCAAGAGGATACTGCCCAAGCCGCCGGCGATGACAACGGCGGCGACTGATTGGTCGAAAACACAGGCTAGTTCTGTTGATAAAAGGTGGTCGACAATGAACACTCCAGTTTCATTGGCTTCATTAGTACAAGTTTCTGGACCTGCAGCAAAGCTCGAAGCTCGATTTGCGGCGACGGCCCGAGTTGTGAAAGAACCCTTTGTTGTTATGCAACGACCAAAGCAGAAGTCGCCGCCGCCGCCGCCGCCGCCGCCTTCAACTATTGGCATGAGCGTGTCACCTCCAGCTTCTGTAAATAGTGGAATGGGAAGGAATGGTTTTACAATGCAGCAATTCTACCCTCAAAATCATCTCCAGCCAACTCCGTCCGTACCAACAGAGTTGCCAGCATCAGCTCCGCCCGGCCGCCTCTGGAATACATCTGGGACCATCTCATCGCCATTAGCGACACCATCATCTCTTGGACTTTACACTGGCTGGGGTTCGCCCGGATCTTCCAAGTCATCATCTCAAAACGACTGGAACTCATTTGGTTCCACCCCACATCCCGACTACACAACCATCGACTGGAGCTTAGATCCGGCACCGAGAAAATCATCCACGAAGATCGATATCGTATCCGACACATGGTCGACGATGTTCATGGGAGGAAATGCTACAGCTCCTCCTCTCATGAATAATGGAGGTGGAGCTTATCTCCCAGAATTACAGGAAGTTAATAGCCGTTTAAGTGGTTTAAGTGATTACTCTGCTCCAGCTGGTTCACTGGAGTGGAGTAGCCCGTTTGAGGGAAGGGATCTGTTTAGGGTTACTAGGCAGTATGTGACCTCTCCTTCCATGTAATAAATGCTGGATTTAAAATGAAAAACAAACATATATTTGGTTTGTGGGTCTTTTGGTTTTTAATTGTTTCAGTGCTGGTTTGATTCAAATTGCCTGTGGTTACCGCATATATCTTAGGCTTCGGTTGCGACGGTTTTTTTCCTGTTTCTTAAAGCAGTCTTTTAATACAATTTTTTTAATTTTTTTATTAAAAAATAGCTTTAAGAAGGAATAAGAAAGCCGTTATAAATGAAGCCTTAGTTTCTTTTTTATAAGAAAAAAAAAAATTATCATCATTGATTCAACTGTTATCTCTGTTTTATTAAATAAAGTTTTGATTTTTAAGGTTGATATGAAGTGATTAGAAAAATAATTAGTAAAAAATAAATTCATCTTTATTTTAAATTTTTATATTTTAGAAGTTATTTTTTTAAAAAATGAAAATTATGGCTGAGTAAAGAATTTTATTAGCAAAATTAATAAATTTAAGAATCGATTTCGGATGATTATAATTTTTTGTAAAAATGTTTATGAAGACAATTATAAATTTATTATGAAGAAATTAATTTTTTTAAATTGCTATAAAAAATAAAATTTTAATATAATTCTTTTTAAGACAAAAAAAAAAAGTAACATCGGAACAGACATTAAGTTATTTTTTTTAAAAAAAGAAAATTATGGCTGAGTAAAGAATTTTATTAGCAAAATTCATAAATTTAAGAATCGATTTCGGATGATTATAATTTTTTGTAAAGATATTTATGAAGACAATTATAAATTTATTATGAAGAAATTAATTTTTTTTAATTGCTATAAAAAATAAATTTTTAATATAATTCTTTTTAAGAAAAAAAAAAAGTAACATCGGAACAGACATTAATTGAGATCTGTAACAGTAATAAATCTATTACCAACATACCCTAAAAATGCCCAAACAAATTTGGCCCGGTTAGATGTCTAATTAGGGCTCTCAATTTGAGTCAAGGAGCCAGGTCGAATACGACTCAGTTTTACAAATGGTTCAGGATTTTCAACCCGAACCCTACCCAACATGACCTGACCCGCAATCTCGAAATAGGGTTTAGTTCCGTCGAGGTCGACTGCACAAGCAAGAGTGCAGGCTTGCAGTTTCATCGAGCCCGAGTTGGCGAGTGCGGGAGTCAGTGAGTGCGACAATGCGGGGTGCGTCTAGCCCTAGCCGTTGAGGTCGATTGGTCGAGCGCGAGTGTTGTTTGATGGTCTGAGTGCATGCGGGGCATTTCGTGGGGCCGCGGGTGACGATGATATGTCGGTTTGGGCTAGGCTAGCTAGGGGGCGCAGAAGTCAGCAGCAGCAACTGGGCTAGCAGCGCCGTTGGAGAAAGGGCTAACAGCAGGTCAATTCTGATCAAACCCGAGTTGTGGTGTCAACCCGACCTGAACCATAAATGGGTCCAAAAATAGGACTTGAGAATTAGATCCGTTTCTTTATCGGGGTGACCCGAGCTCATATTTTTTGGATCGGATTTTATGTCGTGTCAAATATTCCATCTACATGTTCGTTTGGGGTAGATATGCAATAAAGAAAAGTGATTTGTAATTTTACAAGGGCCTTGGGGTCAATAGTAAGAAATGAGGAATAAACTGACAGGGTAATATAAACCAACTAATATGTTATTTTTGTCGAGCCTATCATCTCCATCGGAACTAGGGTTTTCTTTTGTCGCCATGAGTGCCCAGAAACAAGAAGAGCTCCTTACGGCTCTTCTCGAGCAGCAAAAGATCAACGTAAGCCTTCTATTTAATCTAATGAATCCTACCGAAGCAGAAATGTGTTCACTGGTCATCATCTTTCTTTCTTGATTTGTTTTCTGTCGACTCGTATTGAAGCGTTTACCTATCCAAACTTGTCCTTAAAGTATCGCTGCTTGTTAGTTCGATGTAAACATGAATGCTTTTAGGATATGTTTGATTCTGTGTTATTTAGATGCCAGCATTGTACGTCAAATCCTTAAAGATAGCCATATTTTCAGGATTAAAGTGAAATATTGAAATGTCTGAATATCTCCGTATGTCTGCCAATTTTGAGTGCATCTAGGGGCTAGATCTCACTTATTTAGGATATAATAATCATTTATATATTTTAGCAGACAAAACAATTGGCATCTCCTGTGATAGCAAAATGGCTTTTTTCGGGTTAACACCTGCAGAATCTCATAAGATCGTAATACATTTCTAATTGAACCTTGATGGTACAAGGAGAAACTGATCTGGAAATATAGTAAAATAGCAGGTAAGGTATTTGTGCGATGTTTGCTTTCAAGAGCCAACTTTAAGCTTGTCTATGTTGCATTATGGTTGACTTTATTTGCAAAATGCCATGGTGATGATGTTGTCATGATATCCTACCAACCATTGAGTGGCTTCGTTTTGAAATTCATAGTATTAGGTACTTATTAAATTGTTTAAACCTAAAATTGATATAATTTTTCTCTTCAGTTTGTTTTATTCAATTAGTTTCATCATCATCATCATCATCAGCATCATTATTATTAGCTTAACTCAACTTTTTTGGGGTCAGCTTTTAGATTTTTTAAAAAATTGTATTAAATTTTCCATTTGTATGCCAACTTAACATCTATAAAGCTCTGATATTGATTTGGGGATGCAGACAATATATGATACAAACATGGGAAGTGCCAATAATATACATTTAAAAAAACCTATAAATGGTATTTAAATTGTACAAATTAAACAAATGTGAATTGCATGTAATTAAATTTCTATATTATTTAATATTGTTCTTCTATAAAATAAATGAAAAATTAACAGGTAGAAAAAGTATTTTAAATAAAATTAATTGTTAAAAGCATATTTTAGGCCTTTTTTCAAAAATGAAAGCCTCTTATCAGTCTTTGACCCTCCACAATTACTCCATTCTATCATTGCTATTTCATTAAACCTTTGAGACCTGTGTCTGATACACATGCCCTTGATTTATTTATTACTTTTGTAATACTAGACGTTAACAGCGCATCAACATTTCTTAATTGTGTGTCATGTCTTATATTTATCAGATACGTAATATTTGATGTTATGAAGTGTCAGTGAATCAAAGTTTTAACATCTATCCTCGACATTTTTCATCTGTGATAGGGATCTACAATAGCAATTTTTTGATAATTCAGTTTCCAGTAATCGCTAATTTTTGGTTTATTTGCCCTACCTGGCTGCCTGTAGTTTTGAATAACTCTATTCCTTTTTATCATAAAATAAAATCTTTTGCACATTTAACAGGGATTGGATTATTTGTGTTTTAATTTTCTTAAATTTATTTAATCTTAATAGTAAAATTCATTTCAGTCAGTTTACTGGCTCTTCTTAAACCAAACAAAAATGCTTATGAGAGAGGGATTTGGTCTTTTTTTTTGTGAAGATTCTTAAAATTTACTTGTTTCTAAGTATCTATGTATGCTTAGTTTATACAAATTTGTAGAAGAACTAATATTTGCACTAAATTCAAAGAGGTGGTACCTTCTTAAATGTTGACCAAATTTCTCAATGATTTAATCACTGGAGGAAAGGTTATACTGTGCAAAAGGCTGATATTTCCTTGGGTATCATTTTCATCATTACACCACTTTGCAAGTTAATGAATAATCTTATGTGGGAGCCGCTGTATATTTGCATGAGTTGATGCTCACAACAACAACAACAACAACATGTGGTGTTTGCTGAGAGGTTATGCCATCAAAGCCCAGGTGTCAGGGTTAGGTTTCTTAATTTTTATGTTGTAGGGGTTATTCTTTAATAAGTGAATTGAAGACTGAATTTTTTTTTGTCAAATATGTTCTAATTTAGTTGTTATTTGTGTTATAGGAGTTTATTCAGGATTAGTTGCAACTTGCTAAATAGTTTTCATTCACATTTTGGTAATCTTGGATTGATATTTAATTGTTTGGTAATGTTGCATGCTTCCATGTTTGCTATCCTTTCAAGTTTCTATTTGCTCATTTTTAATTTTGTCTTGTTGATTTTTTTATAAAATAACTTTTCAATGAAATTTTCTTCATACCATCCTCCATAGCCAGATGAGCCTGTTGTTGAGGATGATGATGATGAGGATGATGAGGATGAGGATGAGGATGAAAAAGATGATGATGATATAGAAGGTAAACAACAAATCTTTTTTCTAAACTATTTGTTCTTCTTTGAATTTGCGTTTTAGCATGTTCTTGAACTTTTTGAAGCATCTCAGTAACAGGCGCACAGTATTCTTGACAAACCAAACTAGTTGATTTTTTGTAGTTTTAAGCTGTATGTCTCTGCATTTGAATTTTAATGTGGATTCCCGGTTTATTTTCAAAGTTGGGGAGTTTTGCCACTGGGTTTTGTTATTATATATTCCCATCACGGCTGCGAAATAAGCAATTTAAAAAAATGAGAAGAAAACCAAGTCGTCATTTTCTTTTGCATGAACTCTGTCCAAATTAAAATTCTGCAACCTCCATGGATAATGACAGTGCAAATCTTGCTATCCTTGATCAAACGGTTGGGATATATTAGGAGAGGTAAATAATGCTATCATTATTCACCTATCCATCATTGTGTGATGATAATGACCGTGCAAATCTTGCTATCCTTGATCTAACGGTCGGGTTATATTAGGATTTTTTGTCTAATTTAGTGATATATTAAAAGTATCTCAATTATGTGTCGTGGTTGATTTTCTTAGTTCAAATCAGAAATTCACTCAGTATAATTTTTCTTAGGTTATTAAAGATTAAAAAACACAAACATTTAATGCATGCATTCACACGAATAGTATATATTAATCTATTACAAATGCATGCAAATGAAAACGTATGTATATATTAATAATTTTAATTAGGATTTTGGATTTTCTTAAAATTAGATTGGCCCGAATCATCTCTGAATCAGTCTTTTTTAGATAGACTCATGCTTGCATTGTGTCAAGAGGTTAAAGTTTTGTTTAGGATGGCTTTCTTATTGCTTCTTAAAATAACTTTTAGTACAAAAATTAAAACAGCTTTTTAGTTCAGAGTAACTTGTTAGTAAAAGTTGCTTTAAGAAGCAGTAAGAAAGCCGTCCCAAACAAAACATAAATCTTCCATTACAAATTAGCATCAAATTGCTTGAACCCAAGTACATATCACCTGTAATCAAATAGTAAAATCTGTGACCTGGTTTTTTTTTTTTTTTTGTCTTTTTGTGCTATATGAGCTACAATGATGTAACATTGTTCTAGTCTTGTAATTTTTGGAACCTAATTTCATCCATCTAATCGGCAAATTGGTTGATGTCTTAGTTTAGAACACAAAAATGGGAGTACTAAACCAAATGGTAAAATGTTATCTCAAACATGTTTTTATAATGCGGAAAATCTAGAGTAAATTGAAGCTTCAAATCGGTCTTGGCACGGTGCTATTGCCTCTAAGGTTTTGTTTGAGAAGGCTTTCTTACTACTTCTTAAAGCAATTTTGCAGTACAAAAATTAAAATTTTTATACTAAAAAGTTACTTTAAGAAGTCGTAAGAAAACCGTCCCAAACAAAACCTAAATCTCATCATTTTGTGACAAGAAATACAGGTCAGGCAGGTGATGCAAGTGGCAGGTCTAAGCAAAGCAGAAGTGAAAAAAAGAGTAGAAAGGCCATGCTAAAGCTTGGAATGAAACCCATCCCTGGTATTAGTCGTGTCACAGTGAAGAAGAGCAAGAATGTAAGCTCTCCCCCTCTCTTCAAAATCTTCCTTCAATACCATCATTGTATATGTATTATCACCCTCTGGTTTAAGATCGATTATTCTGTGTCGACACCGGACCGGACGGGAGTACCGTCCGGTTCCGCACTCGGTACCGCACTCGGTACCGAGTGCGGTAATTTTTTTGGGCGATATGACCCATTTTTATGGTCTCTGGACGAATCCAGACCTGCACGTAATAATTTTTCCTGGTTTAAACCGTCGTCTCTCTCACTGTAGATACTCTTTGTCATCTCGAAGCCGGATGTGTTCAAGAGCCCGAATTCCGACACATATGTGATCTTCGGGGAAGCGAAGATCGAGGATCTGAGCTCTCAATTGCAAACTCAGGCTGCAGAACAGTTCAGAGCCCCTGATCTGAGTCATGTTATAAGCAGCAAGCCAGACACATCAGTCGCCCAAGATGACGAAGAGGAAGATGAAAGTGGCGTGGAACCGAAGGATATTGAGCTGGTGATGACCCAGGCTGGTGTTTCCAGGAGCAAGGCTGTGAAGGCTCTCAGAGCAGCTGATGGCGATATTGTTACAGCCATTATGGAGTTAACCAACTGAATACTGGATTTGAGCTTTCTCATTTGTTTATGGTGAAGTCTTTTGGCTATGTTCTTATTGATGATTTGATCGCCTTTCAGCTATAAGTTTTGTTGCAATTCGGGCTTATGAATTTATGATTTTGATGATAATAAATATTATTGATTGTCTTTTTATTTCTTCTAGTATTTGTAGTGTATATTTGTTTGTGTACTAATATTTCAGGTATATCATACACCATTCAATACAGATTCAGGGATTAAGAGTATAATATTAATTAATTTATTTTTTATTTCTTGAGTTAAGTTTTATATGGGTATTTGCATGTCTGGAGATCGTGCATACACACACAAGGGGATAAAAAATAATTAAAAATATTTTAATTTTTATGTACATTGTACTGTATAATATGTTGTTGAAGAAATTAACTCTGACTTATGAGTTTATGATTTTGATGATAATAAATATTATTGATTGTCTTTTTATTTCTTCTAGTATTTGTAGTGTATATTTGTTTGTGTACTAATATTTCAGGTATATCATACACCATTCAATACAGATTCAGGGATTAAGAGTATAATATTAATTAATTTATTTTTTATTTCTTGAGTTAAGTTTTATATGGGTATTTGCATGTCTGGAGATCGTGCATACACACACAAGGGGATAAAAAATAATTAAAAATATTTTAATTTTTATGTACATTGTACTGTATAATATGTTGTTGAAGAAATTAAATAAAATATTTTATTTATCTGAGAAAATAAATTTGAAATTTAATTAATCATACAGTATGAAACAACACTGTACTAGACAATTTATTATAATTATAAATTTTGTCGCAAAAAATTGAATTTTAAATGTTCTATTCGTTCTGTAGGAATTTAATTGTATTGTACGACGTTTAAAATATTGTTTATTTAATCTTTTGATTAATTAATTAAATCTTCTTAGTTTTAATTTTATTTTTTTTATCGTACTGTATGAATTGGATTGTATTGTACAATCGATAGTGAAAATATTTAGTCGCCTCAGGATTCATCCTGGATGAACAATAATTCAGTTGAATTAGTCGTATTGTATTGTATTATTGCTCATTCGTATAATATGATTTAAATACATGTATTGCACCTAATGCTAACCATACAGTACTAACACATAAAATTGAATTGATCATAATGCACCAATTGAACATCGTACAACACGAATAACGAAAATCAGAATTGATCTTATTGTACTAACTGGTGATCGTACATTATTAACAAATCAAATTTTGGGTATCGTGTTTACGAACTTTGATAGTTGAATTAAATTTTTAAGATTTTTTGAAGCCATCTATTTAAGCTTTTTCATAAGATTTTATAAGTCTTTTTGACATTCATCGAGTTTTTTTTTTTGAAGAGAGAGCCTAGAGCTTGAGAGAGAAAGGATGAACTTTGTGAGAGAGAAGATCTTTGTGGGTTTCAAGGGAGTTTCACACGGTTGCTTCAATGAACTTGCACCTGTTCCTTCATTTGTCAATGTTTGTATTGAGGAGAACTTTGGGAAGAAGGCTTCTTTGGTGTCAAAGGACCTGGTTACTTCGTCGCATTGGGGAAGGTGAAAAGATATTCAAGTTCTCTGCCTTTACTATGAGGGTGAAAAAGGATTCTAGGTTATTTGACTTTACCATGGGGTGAGAAAGGTTTTCATGTTATCTGCCTCACCATAAGGGTGATAAAATTACGATCATCTGCCGAATTAGATTAATGGAAGAGATTTTGTAAGGGCCATTCCACCTATCTGTTAAATTAAAAGAGTCACTAAAAAATTTATGCAATACCTAAAGAGTGGACGTAGGTCATTATTTGACTGAACCATCATAAAATTTCAGCATGGTCACTTTAATTTTTCTTTTATGTACTTTTAATTTCTTAAACGAATTTTATTTCTCATTACAAGCCGTAAATAGTTTAATTTATGTTAGCAAATAACTTCATATTCCGCTTGATTTATTTATGCTTCAAAATTAAATAAAAATTTTATTATCAAATTTTAAATTATTTTCACTTGTGTTATTTACTCAACTAGATTTTTTTAAAAGTTATCATCTTGAGTAAAACAAAATAAAAAAGGTTTTTGTTATAATATTTTTTAAATAATTAATTCACCTCCTCTTTATTTGCCTAGGAGCAATTCAACAAGGTCTTACAACCTCTCCTAACTTTCAAACTTGTGTTCTATCAGTATTGTAAGTTCTTCAAAATCATGATTTGTTTAAATTGGATTCGATATTGTCATGCAAATACATTTTTTTGTTACTTATTTTCTTGGGATTTTTCAATTATGTTTATTAGAACCAGTCCCATACTTTGAACAGGACCAATATTAATGATAATATCCAAACATTTCATAAGAACAGCACAAGCAAGCCTACATTATACCTATCTTAACAAAAATTATATAGTGCTGAGCTATAAGAAATTAGCAGGAAAATAAGTGAAATCATTGCTTAATGAGTATTGGAAAAATACACATGCCTCATAAATTAAGAACAATAATCCTCAACATTTCAAAAAAAGAGAAAAAGACCAAACTAACAACAGCACAAAACATCCATCTTGGAATATTCAAGAACATATCATATAAATATCACTCAAACTCACCAAAAAAGTCTGAGAAATCTGCCCAAAAACATACAAAGTGATTCCAAGACATCTTAGATTTTGTTGAATGCCACAATATCACAGCTCTGGATGAACTCGTTGCAAGGCTCCACAGTGAGGTGTTCTTCAATAAGAGAATCAACTGAGACTAAATCATCAACAATTGTTAGCATGATCTGAAGCTTCTTTATCCCATATCCAACTGGAACCAACTTAGCTGCAATAAAATAAGGAAAAATAGTATAATTATGATTATTTTTAATAATTATTACATTAATAAAACAGGGCACAATGAACGCTTTCTGATGGAGAGATTATTCTGTTCGAACACCGGACGGGAGAACCGTCCGGTTCACGTTCAGGTACCGAGTACCGCTCGGTACCGGACCTGATCGTGGCACATTTTGGGGCTGAAGTCCGGACAGAATAATTTTTCCTTCTGATGACCCGATTAGAAAAGTTGAGGTATTAGATTTGACTTATGTTAAGGAAGGTAGAGGTATACCTAAAAGGACTTGGTTAGAAAATATTAGAAATAATCTTTCTTTATTAGATTTAAATGAGAATGTGACTTTTAACAGGGCACAATGGAGAAAAAGGATTCATGTAGCCGACCCCATGTAGTGGGACAAAGGCTTGATGTTGTTGTTGTTGTATTACATTAATAAAACAATAAATGTTTGCATACATGCACCCCAGAAAAGTCCTTCCATTTGTACACTGCGCACTGCCTTCTCCAGATTTACCATATCAGTTTCATCATCCCATGGCTTGACATCCAATAGGACTGAGGATTTCCCACCTGGGCAAGATAAAATATGTCAAATGATAATTCAAACATGACAAATTGATAGAATATGGAAGTATGATTTGGATGCCTCACTCTCTTTCTTTTTGGTAGAGGCCTTAGATGCTTCTCGGTCAGCCGCGGCTTTCTTCTCGTCTTCTGTTTCATCACCAAAAAGATCCAAGTCGTCGTCGTCATCATCTTCAACAGCAGCAGCTGCAGCTGGAGCTTCCTGCAAATGGAGGATATTTCAAGAAAATAAGTACAAAGACAAACTACAAAGGAAAACAATAAGTAAAAAGACAAACATCCAACCATGGGATTAGGATGATCTCATGTATATGGGTGAATACAAGAGGAAAACCATTTTATAAAATGAAGGTATTAAATAGAGAGATGATCTTGGAAGAAGTTGAATGGTCTGGAACAAAAAAATTTCCATGTTTTTGTTTAGACAATATATGAAAATTCATAAAAGAAAAGGACAACACTTCCAATGTTTGTGGATTGAAGTTGCTCTGGAGTTTCCTTATAAATACAGAATTTTGCAATGCTCATTATCATAGCCATTCTTTCTCTTCATTCCAAATCCAAATTGGCTCGCCGGAGTTACAACGGGCTCAGGCTTTGTTTGGGATGACTTTTTTATTGCTTCTGAAAACGGAATTTTAGTACAAAAATTAAAAAAGTTGTACTACAACTCCGTTTTAAAAAGCAGTAAAAAAGCCGTCCCAAACGAAGCCTCAAACTCAACTCGTGAGCTTGGCTCACCAAAGAAAGGAGAAAGCAACAAGGCGAACTCGCCGGAGGTATGTGACTTCCTACGAGATGCTTGTTGGAAAAAGCATTGAACGGTAGTAGTTGGGAGGTGCCAGGCATTAGAAGTAGAAGAAAAAGAGATTTTCATTTATTAAAAAAAATGGGAACTACAAATTGGCGGAAATCTTTTCACGCGAACAATGAACTGACAAAAGTCCTTTACGTGAACGGCAAAAATCGAAATAAATAATAACTTTTTATTTTATTTTAAAAAAAAAAAACAATCTTTCACTTTCCAAAAAAATGATGGGGCAAAACTAGCAAAAATCAGCCCTTCACAAGCAGTTTTTTCCTATTTTTTGTTATTAGGAAAAATCCTGAAAAAACTAATATTCATGATTTAGTCAAGTGAGTTCACGAACCTACGAGCTGACTATGTCAAGCTCAAACTCGAGCTCTTGGCTCGATAAGTTGACTCACAAGCTCGTTAACAAGTCAAGTTTGAACCATTGTAAGACAAGCTGAAAATAATTACAATAAAATGGGGCAACTCATTAGAAAAATAAGTGCTCTTAAATCCAGCCAAGTAGTTCTCTGCGAATTTTAAATCCCATTGTTTTGATATATTCCATTTCAATAGGTTCAATTGAATTCAGAATTTGCTAAATCCCACCATTCACAAAATTTAACATATTTAAGCATTTCATTCTCTCACAGATCCTAAGTCCCAAAACAAGTAGCCAAAAAATTTATCAAATTTTAACAAGAATTTGTTGTCATGCCAAAAAATTCAGGTTTTAATGCCTTAAAGATTAATAAATCTGGACGTATAGGAACTACTAAATCCTATTTGTGTTATATCCTGCTAGTAGCTGAATAGCAGGGAAACTTGTACGAATGATTATAATAAAGTTTTCATCTCATAGGACAACTCATTAGAAAAATAAAAAAATTATATTAGAAATTCAAGCTCAATACCAAAAAAAAATTCAGAATCATCATAACTAAGCAAATACCTTTTTTTCTTCAGTAGCAGAAACATCAGAAGGAGCTGGTGGCGTAGCTTGGCTTCCAATCTTTACACCAGCAGCCTCACCAGGGAATCTGAAACATACCACACAACCAGAAACAAGATGATATGTACACTATGCCAGGAATAAATTGCATGTATATGAATAAAAATATATATATATATTTAACAATTGTAAACAAAATCCTGATGGTTTGATCACATAAAATGGTTGGAGTTGCTCCAGCGGAAGAAAAGATTACAGAGAGTCTCTTTAGATGGCTTGGTCACATAAAACGACGACCTTCCGATGACCCGGTTAGGAAAGTAGATGTATTAAATTTGACTTATGTTAAGAAAGGTAGAGATAGACCTAAAAAGACTTAGTTAGAAAATACTAGAAATGACCTTCATTTATTAGATTTAGATAAGAATTTGACTCTAAACAAGACACAATGGAGAAAAATGATTCATGTAGCCGACCCAACACAGTGGGATAAAGAATTGTTGTTTTTGTTGTTGTTTAAACAAAATCCTGAAACAATCATAAGCCTAAATTCCAAAGAAGTTGGAAACCAATATCTTCAGAGTAATCAATTCAATTCTACTATATTGTGACTGCAAATTCCCAAAATTACATGTAAATGAATAAAAGAATAAGCCTTAATTCCAAATAAGTAGGAGAAGAACATATCCAGTGAAGACAATTCAAAAATCAAACAATCTAAATTATCTAATGAACCCCAACATAAAAGGCAGGGAACAGATTACATATTCTGGATCATAATCATAGTGACAATATCACAATTGCGCAAATCCAAATCAATGAATCTAAAGCAGGCTATAATAGCAACAAAAGAAAACAAAGGGTAAGAAAAGAGGAACAAACCTTGCAGACAAAGCAGATGACACAGTTTCATACCATCGGCCAGCATTTGCAAAGCCAGCCCCAGGCTTCCCCGTTACAGCAGCATAAACTCTGATGTCATCCTTAGTTATCTGATCTCTGATCACATAGATTTAAAAAAAACAATCTTTTTAAGTTTATTTCCACATCGAGAAGTTGAAAACTTGTTTAGCTGGTTAACTGAATTCCGTGATAAAGATTGAATCTTTCACAAAAAACTACGAAACATATCGTGAGAAACATATGTGTAAACTTGAAAGAAACGTGTATTTTTAATCTTTCTCCAGCAAAAAACAACATGGTTAAAAGAATTCAATGATAAAGATTGAGCCTTTCTCGATAAATCTAAGAAATTCATAAATCTGGCTGACATGAGAATCAAAACAGGCTTACAACAAGTCGAAATAAGCTAACAAAGGGAAAATTTACCCGGAGATATACGTCTTCCCGGACAGGAATTCATCAAGACTCTTGAGACCAGCTTCGGTGTGAAGATCTGTGAAGGATATCGCCATTTAGGGGTTCAAAGGTAGAAGAAGGGGGTTTTGGGAATTTGAATGAAAACCCTAGATGCGCAGCCCAAACCCTAGATGGAAGACGATAGGAAAATCTAATTGCCAACACGGCTATTTATAGAAACCATACGTTCTGCTCATCCACGGTGAGGAGTTCGGTATCTGCAAATTTGTTATACCCAAATATATTACCATAGATTTGTCTGAAAAAAAAAATAAATTTACAAACATATCATCTCACATTATTCTACTTACATATTTAATATCTAAAATATTAATATTATATACATAATATTTTATATTATTTTAATATCAAATATAATACTCATATTCTTTTTCTACCACTCATATATTTCATTTCTACTGCTCATATTTGATATGAAAATAAATTATGAATTGTATGAATATAATATTAAAGTTTTAGATGTTAAATATGTAAATAGAATAGTATATGATGATATGTATGTAAATATAGTAGTATAAGTAGCAAATTAGATGGTTGCTGAAAGGTCGTAAGTTGCTTATAATGGACGGTTGAGATTTTTTAAAATTTTTGTTATTACTTTTGTTGCATCCTGGGGTATTCAAGGCGGTAAAGAAATATAAAGTTTAACGTCTTAGCATTGTACGAAAATCCGGCACGCAATCAGATAAGAGAGATGGTGCGTCATTCACTAGAGACATCAAGTTTTTTTTACGTGGAAAACCCCTGAAATAAGAGGGAAAAACCACGGGGTCTGGCATAATATAAATGAATCCACTAGTATTGTAGTTGATTAAAAATGATGTCCTTCCTCAGGGAAAGGCCTTAGCTTGATGTACATATTATAGAGTACATTATATAGTGAGAATACAAAGCATCAATGTTGATGTGTTAGTTTGGTCTGAAGGACTGTAGTCGGTATGCGACGTAAGTCGGGAGGATCGTAGTTGGCGGGTGACAGCGGTCGAAGGACTATAGTCGGCGGGCGACATAAGTTAGAAGGACTGTAGTTGGCGAGCAATGTAAGTCTGAAGGACCGTAGTCGGTGGAAGACGGAGGTCGGAAGGACTGTAGTCGGAGCGACGTAAGTCTGAAAGATCGTAGTTGACGGGCGACGAAGGTCGGAAGGACTGTAGTCTGATGACGGAGCTCAGAAAAATGACATCAGGTAGAAGTCCATCAATGGGCAGAAATCCAACATCAGATAGATGTTTGGTGAAAGTCCAGCAATTGGCAGAAGTCCAGTGTCAAGTAGAAATTTGACGAAGAGCGTAGCTCTGACGTCGGGTAGAAGTCGGACGTCAGTTGGTGGCCGAGGAGAACTCCGACGTTAGATGACATTCAGGGAGAACTCCGATATTACTTGGAGTTCTGGTGAAACTCCGACATTACTTGGAAGTTGAGCTGAATTCCCACGTCATTTTGAGGTCGGGCAGAATTCCAGCGTCGAGCAGAACTCCGACATTGTTCGGAGATCTGGCAGAATTCCGGCATCGGGCAGAACTCTCGCGGTGGACTAGGAGTTATTTCTTCATATCCTTCTCTTCTCCTTCTCTTCTTCTTCCTTCTTCTTGCTTCTTGCTTGGGTCCCCCTCTCAAGAGAAATGAGGGGTTTATTTATAGATTAATGGAGTTACATGGCCTTTAAATATGTGAGAGATCATGGGCAAATCGAGAGTGGTCCGATGGACGGCCGATATTGAATCCTTTGATCGTGGATTGTTTTTCAGGCATTTGAAGGCCTTAATGATGCCGGAATTCACCGATCTTGGGCTCGTTGGATTTGTCTCGTCGAGCCGCTTGATTCGACTATAAGCACATCATTCTTGGAAACCATTTGGAAACTCAAATTGTGGTTTGAACTTTCCAACAGTACTTCGGGTGCTTGATTTGGACTCATTTGTGCTCGGATTGAGTCGAATTTTGTGTCGTTGGGTTCGTATTTCTGAGACGCTCAGTTTGACTATAAGTTTGCTGGAATTGGAGTTTAGGTGATCCCTAATTTAATTTTTGAAGTTTCCGGCTTGATTTTGGCTCGAGATTCGTGCCCGATCAAAATGATTTTTTGAGGATATATCAACCTTACTTTAACAAACTAAAATAATTAAATTTGTTGAAAAAAAATATTGTTTGGCGTTTTTGTTACATTAATGCTATATTATAATTTCTTATTTATAGAAAATATAATAAAGCTTACAATATATCTCATAAAAATATTTCATAATAGTATTAATCATTCATGATAGAAAACGATTGAGAGATAAATTATTAATGTTTTATTTGGGACAAATTTCTTATTGTTTTCTAAAGCAATTTTTTTGTAAAAAAAATTAAATGAAAAATTTTTGGACTAAAAAGATGTTTTATAAAAAGGATAATCCTAATCATTATTTTAAATTAAATTATTTCTTTAAATAAAACTATTAATTTCAATATATTAAATTTAATAAATAAATAAATAATATGACAGAAAATTTTAAGAAAAATGATAATGAAAACTTTTAAAATTCTTAAATCTATTTTAAAATGAGTGTAACATATAATATTATACTCATTTAATAAAATTTAAAAAATAAAATTTATCATAATAAAATATTTGATTAGAATGCCCTTACATAAATTTTTTTTCTTAATAAATATTATCAATGGCATTACATTATACTGAGCATTATCATTCAGATAATATTATTGATATATCATCCCAAAATTATCTTGATCGGGCACGAATTTCAAAGCAAAATCAAGTTAGAAACTTCCGGAATTAAAAATCAAGAGCATCCGATCTTCGATTTCAGCAAACTTACAGTCAAACTGAGCGTCTCGGAAACACGAACCCAACGACACCAAATTCGACCCAATCTGAGCACAGATGGGTCCAAATCAAGGACCTGAAGCACTGTTGGAAGGTTCAAACCACAATTTGTATTACCAAATGGTTTCCAAACATAACAAACTTATAGTCGAATCGAGCTGCTCGATGAGACGAATCCAACAAGCCCAAGATCACTGAATTCCGACATCACTATGATATTCAAACGTCCATCGAACGGTTCAAGATCTAGGGATTCAAAACCGGCCGTCCATCCAACCACTCCCAACTAACCTTTGATCCTCCACCTATTTACGGGCCATGTCATTCCCAAAATCTATAAATAGAGCCCCCCTCTTCTCTTGAAAGAGGAGACCCCTTAAGCATAAGGAAAAAAGAGAGAGATCGGAGACCGCTCTTGCTTCTTAGCCTCCTTAACCACCACCGGAGCTTCGCCGGACCACCGCCGGACCACTGCCTAACGCCGTCGCTCCATCGGACTACCACCTGACGCCCTGTGCTCCACCCGATCACCGCCTAACGCCGTTGCTCCACCGGACCACCACCTGACGCCTTGTGCTCCACCGGACCACCACCTGACATCATGTGCTCCACCGGATCACCACTTGACGTCCTGTGCTTCACCAGACCATCACCTGAGGCCCTCACCTTCACCGAACGTCTTACGCTTCTCCAGACCTTCACCTAAAGCCTAGAGTTCCGTCAGACATTCATCTAAGGCCCGGAGTTTTGTCATACCATCATCTAAGGCCCGACGTTCTGCCTGATCATCATCTAAGGCCCAGAGTTCTTCTAGATCATCATCTAAGGCCCGAAGTCCTGCCAGACCATTACCCGACACCCGGACTTTTATTGTACAATTGTTACTTGTAATCTGACCGCCCTCAAAGGCGAGTCAACCCATTGTAATCAACTCAAGTTCTAGTAAAATCTTTTTAACTGGGCTAGGCACCGTGGTTTTTCCCTTTTTAAGGGTTTTCAACGTAAAAAATTCTGTGTTCTCTGTGTGTGAGCTGGATATTCGTGCAACGCTAAGACGTAGTATTCTAACTCTATCGCCGTGTATATTTTAGCCCGCAACAATTATTATTTGCATAATCTTAAACCAATTCTTAAAATTTCAGCTTCATTGTCTTCAAATACACAATCTCACACTTAGGTCTTGTTTAATACAACTTTCCCATTGATTCTTAAAATAATTTTTTAGCTAAAAAATTAAAATTTATTATATTAAAAATTTGCTTTAAGAAACAATAAAAAAATCTTCCCAAATGAAACCTTAAGCTTCATTTAGGATGGCTTTTTTACTGCTCTTAAAGCAGCTTTATAATGCAAAATTAAATTTTTATACTAAAAAATTGATTTAAAAAACAATAAAAAATCCGCTCAAACGAAATCTTAAAGTCTATTTCAAACAACTTTTTTATTGCTTTATATTTAGACCGCAACTAAAAGTTCTATTTGACTATTGCTTTTGGCATCTTTAAAAAAATATTTATACAAAAAAATTGTTTTTTACAAAAAGTCCAGAAAATATTACTTTTCTAACCACAATTTCACAACCTTTTTTATAAAAAAACTGCAGAAATCCCACACAGCCACTTAATTCAACAGTCAATTCGAATGAATGAAAATTTAAAATTTAAAATTTATAAAATTGAATGTCTTTCATAATTAAAAAATCAATAATTTTTTTTTAATTCAATCAAACTTAAATAAACAGTAAATTTTTTATAATTAAATTTTTATTAAAAACTCATTTTAAGAAGTAGTAAGAAAACCTTCTCAAACATCAAACGTAACCTAAATTTATATTTTTTACTCAAAACGAATTCAAAATAAATTGAATGAGCATCTCAATAAAATATAGGTGATTAATCCAATAAAAGCTCGATTAGAACAAAATTTAACTACTTGCTTTGAACTGATCTTAAGTTAGAGACAACTAAATTCTAGTTCAAATCATTTATACTTCGTTTGGGACAACTTTCTAATTACTTTCCATACCAATTTGTTAATATAAAAATTTCTTGAAAGCAAAAAAAAAAAAAAATAATGATCAAAAGCTACCCTGAATGAAGCCTTAGAATATAACTTCATTTGGGACGGCTTTCTCACTGCTTCTTAAAGCAATTTTTCAGTATAAAAATTCTAATTTTATATTAAAAAACTTCTTTAAGAAGCAGTGAGAAAGCCGTCCCAAACGAAGCCAAACTTATTGTTTTCCAAAGCAACTTATTAGTATAAAATTTTTTTGAATAACAATTTTTATATTAAAAATCTATTTTAAAAAACAGTAAAAAAGCTATTCCCAACAAAACCTTAGTCATAGGGTAGAAGCATCATTGCCCAAGAAAAAGTTTAACTTCAACAAAACTAATGCTTATATGAGCCTTACCAAAGACAATCAGATTCTCCTTTACCAAATGATCATAACATAAACAGTAGAAATACAACATAATCTACAGTTCTTAAACCATTATGAAAAGAACTCTAACAATTCTGGAAACAAACAGCTCCTTACCAGAAGTTACCAAAGTATTTTATTGTAATGGCCATATATACATGAAAGGGAAAGAAATATATAAAGCTAATCACCATAGCAAATAATCAAGCATTGTCTTCAGTTCTGAAAACTGCATAGAAGATTTTCCAAATGAACTCTTTAAAAGCATGAAAACTGCACGTAGATGTGTATTAACTATCCAGAAGGTTCTCTGTGTCGATTCACAAACAACTTCCTTATATCTTCAGTGACAACATTGCTCCTACCATATGACAATATGAAGTTTCTTAATAAAGTAGAATATATATTGAAATAAATCAAAACAAAATTAGAACAATCTGTGTCCATGCCTGGATAAATTATTTTGTGCGGACACCGGACCGTCCGGAGGTCAATTAGAACATGTCACATCACTCTTTTTGCTTGGTGCCGATGCTGGGTACCGCTGGGTACCGGGTGACGTCGTGCGTTCTGGTTGACCTCCGGACCGTCATGTGTCCGCACTGAATAATTTCTCCCATTCTTGCTGACAAATAGTTCCCAACCAGGCTATAATCATGCTTAATACTATCAAGTTACATATGCTTGCACATATTACATAGAATGATGTACAGATTATACAGATATATGCAGAGTATACATCTAAAGAGTAAAACCTACATTTCTTTATACCATCTCTCCTAAAAATATTTGAAGATGCTTAAGCCTACAACAATTTTTTAAAGTCAAATTTGAAGGCTATTACACATCAACCCAGGAATCATCCTGAATTTGCAACCACATGAGACATATGATAGGAAATACTTGAGTTCGTAAGTAACCCTAAGGGAAATATTTCAGTTCGCAAGCAAACCTATCACTAATTGGTGAAAACAGCAAGAATGATGCAAAATCTGGACGGAAAACAGCCCCAAACGATAGACTGCAATAAGAGAATCAAAGCCAAGCAAAAACAAAGCAAGATACAAGTGATCCTCAATTCGAGAGGAGGATTGTTCTCTCCCAAATCTCTAGATCAAGCAATCTAGAGCCAAAACACCCAAGAACTCAAGAGAAAACAATATTCAAGCATGAAAAACTCCCCTCCCACCAGCCCTCCTACTAATACAATTAATTTTCGAATTCAAACATCTCTCATTCAAATTTTCCCTCTCAAACTAGCCTCCCAAAACCCCTTCTCCCCATTGCTCCAAATGGGTGGCAGCATTAAAGGGGGCGGACCCCCCTTTCTGCCTCTTATAAACATGAGCCAGCCGCTGGGCCGGTTCAATGTGAACCGGCCTATCACCATACTCTATGATGCCCTGAGACTTTATAATGTTAAAATATGTAATTCTTAAAACATGTAATACATGATGCAGTGTAACAATAAGAATAATGAATAGATCACAAAAAAAAATAAAGTAAAACACAAATCTACGTTAAAAATTAGGGGTGTCAAAATGGGTCGACGGGTCGGATTCGGGTCGAACCTGAGTTGACCCGGGTCTAAAGTCTAAACGGCCTATTCCTAATAAGAATTCACTATATTGAAGAAAAAATAAATCGAGTGAAAAGCGGTGGGCCACATAATATAGCGTATTCCTAATTATAGGTAGATATATGTGTAAGAAAATCAGCCCAATCCCTCCACCTCCACTATAAATCCCTCAAAAAAAATTCTCATAATGTAAGTCGCACCATGAGCTTTTGACCCAAGCTCAACAGATTTTGGGTCAAAAACTCTTAACAATCTCCGTCATAATCCAAATTCCAAAAAAACAGAATGCAAAACAAGATTCCAATCATTGACAAAAAATTCTCCACCTCTTCCATAAAATTTTCAAGAACAAAAACAAATGCAAAGTCTAAGCAATGCTCAGACTTCACAATAGGGAGTCACTTCGTCATCATATAAGCAGGATTATCATGGATGTTGACTTTACTCAACAATATTATCATAAGCTATGATATCACGCAAAAAATGATACAATATTAAACCAACAAATAAGTTTTTCAATGTATCCTTTCTGATTTAGGCTTCATTCGGGATGACTTTTTGTTGCTTTTTAAAATAGCTTCCTAGTATAAAATTTTTAATTTTTGTACTAAAAAACTGCTTTAAGAAGCAACAAAAAAGCCATCCCAAACGAAGCCTTAGATACAATATACTTGCTTTTATATCTTTCTGAATCTCCATGCCAACTATCTTTCTTCATGCTCCTAAATCTTTCATCTCAAACTCCTTGCTAAGCTAAGCTTTGAGCTTTCATATGTGACTCTTATTATTGGCTGCTATTAACATATCAACAACATATAGGAGTGATCTATCATCACTCCTTTTAATATAAACGCAGATATCATAATTACTTCTGAAATCATGAGTACTCCCAAAAGAGTAAAATCTCTTGCATCATTGTCTGAACATTATTTTAGGCCATAAAGAGACTTTTTAAGCCAGCACACATAGTCTTTCTTTCTAGAGGCTATTAATACCTCTGTTGACGCATGAAGATAGCTTCCTAAAGTTCTCCATGGAAGAATGTTGTTTTCACATCCAACTATTCAAGCTCAAAATCATGCACTGCCACAATACCAAGCAAAGCACAAATTGAACTATGTTTTACAATTAGAGGAAAAACATCAATGAAGTCTACTCCTCGAACCTAAGTTCTTCATCTCCTAGAGTTCTTTCTTTATGAACACCCATTTACAACAAACAACATTCTTACCCTTAAGGTAGTCTCACTAAATTCCATGAGCCATTCTTATGAAGCAATTCTATCTCCTCCTATCAGGCAATCACCCATCTGCTGGAATTATTAGAACTAATTGTCTCGAAATAAGTAGAAGGCTATTCACTAGAATAAATACCTTCAGCAATATTCAAGACATACACAAACAAATCGGCTTCTCCATACCTTTGGGGAACTCTAATATTTCTTCTAGGCTTTCCTTTTGCAATGCAATGCTGTGGTGGTGGTTGTGGTGGTGCTAGTGAGAGAGCAACACCACACTGTACCTCTAAGATAGACTAAGATGTGGACCTTGATGTAGATTAAACTCCACCTAAGTGCTTGATTTATGTTGATTTGCCTCACAAGAATTTTTAAGAGGTAAATCATGAAGCATGGCGACTTCATCAAACATAATCTCTATTAATTATGACTTCTATGTTCTCTAGACACCAAATCCTGTATCATTTGACCTGAAACTTATAGCCAAGATTTTGATAGATCTAAGCAGGACAATGTTAGGCCGGTTCACCCTAAACCGGCCCAACCGGCCCTTGCTACAAGAGGCGGAACTTGTCCGCCTCCATGGATCATGCCCATCCACATTGAGGGCCCCACTAGTCCAAGTAAATTTAAATTGAAAAGGAGGGGGCGGCTAGGGCTTAGGAGGGGGTGGCTAGGGCTTAGGAGGGAAATTAGATTATGAAAGTTTTTGTATTGAAGAGCATGAGATGTTTAGAGAGGGACTATGTTTTGAATTGTTCTCAATTAGGGTTTCTGGGCAACTTGGGTTCTAGACTCTCTTATCTAGAGATTTGGGAGAGACGATCCTCATCTTGAATTGAGGATCACTTGTATCTTGTTTTCCTTATTGTTTGGCTTTGATTTCCCTAGCGCAATATATTGTTTTGGGCTGTTTTCACCCAGATTTCGCATTATTCTCGCTGTTTTTTCACCAATTGGAGATAGGTTTGTTTGAGAACTCAAGTATTACCCTTAGGGTTACTTGCAAACTCAAGTATTTCCTACCAAACATCCCAATATCTTCAAACTAGTGTACTTTGCATGAGTATCACCATTCCTCCTATGGAGACTTTTTAGTAATAACAGTTGAAAAAGAGTGATTAACAAAGAAACAATATAGAAAATGCTTCAGTCTAAAAAGACTTAGGTAAACGAGAATTAAAAAGTATATAGTGTACTTTCTCCATCTAAGTTCTGTTCATTCTCTCTACTATACACCATTCTGCTGCGGAGTACGACAAACTGTTAAGTATCTCACAATCCCTACTTATTTACATAAGAGTATTGAACTCATTAAAACAAAACTCCAAGTCATTATTAGTGCTGATACGTTTAACTTGCTTCCATTTTTGTAACTCAATCATGTTGGCAACGCATCACTCATTTGCTTCAAGAATAACACCCAAACATTTCTGGAGATAGTTAGCAAGTAACTAGCACCTCCCTTGGAAGGCACCCAAGATCAGGCTTCTTTTTTCAGAGTGGGCAAAAAAAAAAAATTTGGTGGAGGGCAGGCAAAGATGCTTATGATTAATAAAATTAGGGCAAAAAATTTTTTTGAGAGGCGGCAAAATGCCCAAAATATTCTAAAATATCCCCTCTATTTTTTTTTTTTTAGGGTGGGCATTTGCCCCCCCTCAACTCTATGGGGATCCGCCCATGCCCAAGATAGTCCCCAAAGATCATGGTGTATATAATCGAGTGTTCCCTTTGAACCGTGAATGCCCTTTGTGAATCTGACTCTCTTTATCTTCCCAAAATTGCAGTGCTCACATAACTTCAATTTAATAATATTATGTCCATCAAGAAGTATTCTTCTACAGTTCTACTCAATTCAGCCCAGGAAGCACATGCCAAAGTCAAGCAACATGATTATCACATAAGAAAGGAATAGCTAAAGTTGTATCACTTGTAACCATACAACTTGACAAAAGTTGTATCACCTGTAATCATACAAACCGACAAGACGTATAAGTTGTTACACATTTTATAATCGTTCATCATACCAAGAGCACCTTTGTTAATCATCAGACTCCACCTTCACTATTTTATTTGTTCCCTTTTCAATCAAAAGTACTCAAGGAGATAAGATTCCTCTTCAAAATTGAGATGCGTCTCCCATCACCTAGTGCTCTGACAACTCCATCAAACATCTTGATTTTGAGCGTACCATTACTAACTACCTTAAAAGATGCATTGTTTCCCACCAACACATCACTTATAGTCACAATTTCATATGTTGAAAACTCTATGAGGAACAAGCATGCAATTCGAATCAAGAATCCGATCCTCGTAAAGTTTGGAGTCACCATCATAAGCAACTAGGAGTTCTCCATCACAATAATCTTCCACAACATCAACTTCACCGAATTTTTTGGTTATTCTCCCTTCTTATTAGTAGGGTCCACCTTCTTATTTGACAACTTGTAACATTCAAATTTAATATGCCCCTTTTTTTATTGTAGTGCTACAAACTTTATCTCTATTACTAGATTTGAAATTCCCTTCACTTCACCACCATAATTTTCTTCTTGAGTTATCCCTCGAACAAGTAGGTCTTTTGCCTGAACTTTTAATCTAGCCAAAAAGATGTTTCATCTTCTCCTTAGAAAATGGAGCCTCACAAACTTCATTCAAAGTAAGAGTATCACGGTTATTTTAAATAATGTCTCCAAAATTCAAATAAGAAGAAGGTAGCAAACACAATAGGATTAATGCTAAATATTCTTCATCATACTTAACCCCCATGGTATCCAAATCGAAAACAATTTCTTTAAACAGTTTGATCTTCTAGAGACTAACCTTTTGTCATATAGTGGGAATGTAGTCGCTACTTCAATTACAACTGATCAAACTCTGTCACACACAATTGTTCTAACTTCAACCACAACACAACAATAGTTTTTTTTTTTTTTCCTTCAAAACATTCTAATATTTGATTCGATCATGGGTGTAAACTAGTCGAGTCGAGCCAAGCTCGAGTAGCAGCAAACTCGAGCTCGACTCGTCTTTCAAAAGAGCAGCTCAAACACAAGCTCAAGCTCGAGCTCGTATCGAGCCCGAGCTCGAGCTCGTATCGAGCCCGAGCTCGAGCTCGTATCGAGCCCAAAGAATGAGCTCAACTCATCCTTTCTCTCAGGCTCGAGAGCTTGGCCCGAGATGAAATCACGGGGAAGTGCCACCTATGGAGAAGGAAGATTGGAAGAGCTGTTCGTCATCACTGGAGAAGAAGTTCAGTCAAAGAAAATGAGGAAGAAGAACAGTGTTGGACCGTTGGTCTTTTTTTTTAAAGAAAATATGGACAGCGGGTCTTAAAAGAGAGCTCCTTTTTTTTTGTTCCGCCTAGCTCTGCTTTTAATAGCTATTTAAATTAAAATATATTTAAAATATAATGTTGGGGTTGCTGCAGCAGCTTTTTATCTAGAAAAAATAAAAAGGTGACAGCTAAATGTGCACAATTGTTGCCTCTTGATATAATATAATAATTATATTAATATATAATAAATGCTTTATGTTATTTTAATATATGCAAATTTTATTAAATAATTAACTAATTACGAACCAGCTCGTGAGCTCACAAGCCGAGCCTCATCAAACTCAAACTCGAGCTTGTTTAATAAACAAGCTCAAGTTTGAGCTCGAGCTCAAGCTCATGGCTCAATAAGCTCGGCATGCCAGCTCGTTAATGAGCCGAGCTTGAGCTGGCTTGTCTCGCATACACCCCTAGATTCGATAGATGAAGATGAATTTGAGATATAGGACGTTTTGATCCTTATGTTGATTTCCCTTTAGTGACCAAGTTGAAGTCATATTTTCAAACCCTAATAGTGCATCATCCAAATCTATATGAGTAAGCACAACCCACATTTTTACCTTTGCAATCCAATAGCAGTGTATCGTATTTCATGGCTGTCATCATCAAGATCCAATGTGAATTTATGCTATGATACCAATTTGTAACAATAAAAATGAAGATTATACCACAAAACACAAATTTACGTGAAACTTTCTGGATGGGTAAAAACTACAACTAGAGAAGAATAGTTTGTTATCTCAAAGAAAAATAGTTACAAGTTGGTAGTGGTGGCTCACATAACATAGCCCTGAAAGACCCTAATTACAAGTGTGTGTGTAAGGGTCTATAAGGGTCCATACTACAAAGTCGGCCCTCTGCTACCACCACAGATCCTCAAAATTTTCTCATAATTTAAGTTGGGCCAGATATGCCGCACTACAACTTTTTCAGTTCAAGCCCCATAGAATTTGGGTCATGAGCTCTAACACATACACCATTAACATGTTCAATTAAAAAATAATAAATAAAAGTCATGTATATTGTGGGTTAAGTGACATGATGATCATGAGAATATCAGAACTACGAAAGAGTCAAAGATTAATAAGTGCCCTTTAATTTTGAGTGAGATAACTGAAATATACTTCTAATAGTTTATTCATTCATATTGATTCTTTTTTATAATGTTTATTTTTTATTTCTTTTGCAGAAAGACAACATTTATCATTATATGAATTAGATTGTTAGCCTTTCATATTTATTTACTTTGTGATGAACCTTTCAGTTGTGTGTTTCTCTAGTTGCCAGAAGTTCCAGCAAAATATTTATAGGAAAGTAAGAAAATGAAAATAGAAAATTGTTTCATAAGAAATCCAAAGACAATTTCACACTAGATATAAGCCTCCTTTACAACAAAGAAATGAAATAAATAAATTTTAGTAGACCAATGGGTGTAAAGAAACTTACCTTCCCTTGAGCTGTGGGGGGATCAAAGTACCACTGACAGTATCAAGGATATTTCTTGAATGGGGTAGGTTTCCTCTCGGGTGCTTATTAGGTGGGTGAATGAAACCTGATCCATTTGGCTCCCTCTTCCTTGATGCTATTTCTGGAATAGTAGATGCTATGCGAGAAGAGTGGTCAGTGCCAGCGTATTGTTGTGGCGAAAATGATGGTGATGAAAGAAGAATAGATGCATCAGGAAGTTTTTCCATTGATATTGCATTCGAAGGAATGACAACGTCTGGATGACGGTAAGTTGAATGTGAAGAGCTCCTGAAAACATATGAAATTAACCAATCGGAAAGGAAATATGTTGCAAACAAATATTACAGCTTTCTTGATATAGAAAAAGTCTAGCCATTTAGCATAAGGTATATATTATTGTCTGAAACAACTACATTATAAACTTCATTATAAATGGCCTTATCTCACAAAGAGTAATGCTACTAGTGTCACATTATATTAAATGGATTTTTACATACATAAAATATAAAACTATTGAAAATACATATTTAACAGCTAAACTTCTATATTACTAATATAACACCTAAAACTCCTTCCGTCAAAAATAACTATCAACGACTGTCTTCCCCGTCAATGGCATCCTTTCACAGTGAATACAAGTATCTCATCGCTTCAATGGAGTGGTAGAATAAAAGAAAAAGGGGATTTTAGGGGATATATTAGTAAATATAGAAGTTTAGGTGTTAAATATATATTTTCAATAATTTTAGATGTTATATATGTAAAAATCCCTATATTAAAAATGTAAACCAGGATGTGATTTCATAAAATTGTAAACTATGTTAGTTGGTGTGACCATTCATAGATAGTTAGTTCAAGAATTAAATAGTTTTGCATTTTGCAATTGAAGATGGACCATCAACCCAAGATACAAACAAACAAAACTAACTTCACCTATTAGGGAAGTACTAGCATTTTGCATTGCCAGCATAAAATGAGCAATCTGCATTCTGCAATCTCCTTGTAGCCTCAATCTTTTATAGGATTCTGAATTCAAGGGTGCCATAAACCAAATATGAAATGAATAGCACTTCAATACAAGGAATCCTAGCTTACTACACGACTTAACCACTTCAGTCCCTTAGAGAAAAATTCCAATTCAGCAAAAGTTAACAGTAAATTTATCATGGGACTAAATATTCTCAATAAAGCAACTTCCAACTAGAATATTATAACCTTCAGCTGCAAAGATCTGAGATCTCAAATAAAGAAAGACCCATTCATAACTTAAGTTTGTTTCCTATTCAAACATAAGAGGCCAAACAGGGATTTTTAGGTTCAACATCAACTAAGGATTAGCTATTAATTGATGTCTAATCTATAAAAGTTTTTTTTTTTTTCCTGTTAGATTAGCTGTGTCAGCTAATCCAAACTGGCTAATCTAACTTGGCTAATCCACCTTGATACTGATACAAATAGAGTTAATATCATCCCTCCTCATATCCAAAAATTAAACTCATGCATAACAAACAGTAATTGACATATGCCATATTAACCCATCAAGATTATTATTATCTTTAAATTCCAGAATCTTAAACCCGAAAACCCAGTACTGCCATGCAAGGTCAAGCGATCAGTCACATGAACGTCACAAATTACCACCTTTTTTTAGTAAAAAAAAAAAACAATGCTATCAAATTTTGCTGAAATACGATTTCGGTCCAGCACAAACCCTAATTTATACGATGGAAAAACTGAAAAAGCAAGCCCAACTCCCACTGATCCGACGAATTCCATAAGAATTAAATAAAGAAACAATATTGTTACGATTTCGGTTGGCATTGAGGAAACTGTAGGGGAACAGTCGCAGCAGCAGCCGATTCGTTTGGTCTTTCCTTCTCCACCTGCCGTTCATCTCTTGTATCTTGCTTGTAGTGTTGCGGCTCTTGGTCTTCTTCAACCTCCTCGTCCTCAGAAGACGAGGCGTAATCCACTAGCGACATAGTTCTTCCTTTCACTACACTCTTGGTCTGTGTCCTTCTAAACTCAAAGAAATAGCTTGCGGTGACGGATTTTCAGTCTCACGGAATCCCGCGAGGACTTTTGTTTTTTTGGGGGGCGGGGGGCGGGGGCTAAAAAAATAAAAATTATAAAAGATTATAAATGATGGGTAAGGGAAAAAAAAAACCTTACAGTATCAAATTAGAACCTAACAAAAAAATAAAAAAGAATCTAAAAAAGAGGGGAAAAAAAAGGGTCATAAAACACCAACAAATGAAAGTAACCCCAACAAGAAAAAATAATCCAAGCAGAAGAAAATGAAACAACACTCCTAACCGAGCAACCATCCAAAACCAACCGAACCTAGAAGAAAAATCTTCTAAGCGAATCAATATAAAAACATTCACTCCTATAGAAAATGAGCAGTCTCCAATGAAATACAATGAGTCAGCAACATCCAAGACGTAACCCTGAACAGGCTCCAGGAGAGGAACGAACCACCACCAGTAAAAGCCAAGCAAAGATATACAGTGAGCCAACGGCATCCTTGTCGCAGCCTTGGACAGTCTCCAGAAGAGAAGAGAACCACCAGCAACAAAATCCAATTAAACTCCCCAAAAATTGGAAGAAAGGAAAATAACTCAATCCAGCCCCCAAACTTGCAATAACGCCTATGGGCGACAACAAAAACCCATGAACATTTCCCGAATCCTAGAAACCAGTTAGAAAATAATGAGAATAAAAGAAATAACTCCATACACATAAGAGAAGAACAAACTTTCAATGATATCAAAACCAAACATCCAAGGGTTTTAGAAAAAACCTGATTGCCAAAAAACAACAAAAGGCACTACCCAGACAAAATTCCAATAATAAAATACAAATATTTCTAATGAGAAATCTTAGCTAATAGATTAGAATAGATAAGTCTACTCAAATAATCAATATTAAAAATTTTATTCTCAAACATCCTAGAATTCCTCTCTTTCCAAATAAAGTAAATAGAACAACTAAGAGATGATAAAAATAAATTCTTAACATGAGAATCATAGTGAAGAAAAGATATAAAATCCAATAATTGCTCTAAAATTGGTCTGAACATAAAAAAATTAATATAAGGCAAAAAGTTAGAAATAATACTAAAAGAATAATCACATTAAAAAAATAGATGATTACGACTTTCCATCGCTTTCAAACAAAGGAAACAAGAAGTAGAGACGTTAAGATTTCTCTGAACAAAGACGCCAGATGTTTTAAGCCCCTTCAACAAAGACATCCAAGCATAACAAGAATATCTTAGAGCATATCTTTTATGCCAAATCAACTTATATCAATCCACTTTATTAAAAAGTATCATAAAAAGCTCTATAAAACATTTTAAAGGATGGATGCAAAACACCTCCAGGAAATGTTCGAAGCTTATGGATCAATAATAATGACTTGAGATACAATAGAAGTCATAGCTGGAGACAAAGAAGGAGATAAATTCCAGCAATTATGAGAAATTCAGTCCCCTAACTTTCTATTAAGAGAATTTGAAACCAAATTTACACTGTATTAAATAGCAATCTCATGAACATATCTCTTCAAGCACCAAGGATCCCAATATAAAGAGAGGGAACCTTTAGAAAAATATTAAATTGAATATTGCTTTTAATATCTCTCGCAACCAAAGATATATTCTTCCAAAACATGGAAACTGATTACTGCCAAGGCTTCCAAAAAGAGAAACACTTAAACTTTATCCAAATATCCAAAGGACCAATATCATTAATGATTCTCCAAATAAGATAATAGCTATGAGCAAAATTGAGAGCTTCAGGTTAAAAAATACCCAGCCCCCACCTTCTCTAGGCTTATAAACTTTATTCCAAGCAATGATATGAATCTTAATACTAGTTGGATCACCATGAAAAAGGAAATTACACCACACATTTCTAATAAATTAAAAAAAAAAAAAAAAGACATAGCAATCCCCCTAATCCAATAAAAAATAACATTAGAAATAATACAAAAACAACAACGTCAAGCCTTTATCCCACTATGTGGGGTCGACTACATGAATCCTTTTTTTCCATTGTGTCATATTAAAGGTCAAAATCTCGTTTAAATCTAATAAAGAAAGGTCATTCCTAATATTTATAACCAAGTCTTTTTAGGTCTGCCTCTACCTTTCTTAACATAAGTCAAATCTAATACCTCTACTCTCCTAACCGGGTCATTGGAAGGCCGCTGTTTTATGTGACCAAACCATCTAAGGCGACTCTCTCTAATCTTATCTTCTACTGGAGCTACTCCAACCTTTTCACGTATATGCTCATTTCGTATCCTATCTCTAAGGGTAAAGCCACTCATCCACCTGAGCATCCTCATCTCTGCCACACTTAACTTAGTATTATGCTTCTCTTTTAAAGACCAACATTCGGCACCATAAAGCATTGCAAGCCTCACCACCATCTGATATAATTTTCCCTTAAGTTTGAGGGGTACATTTCTATCACATAACAAACCCGATGCATTCCTCCACTTCAACCATCCAACTTAAATTCTGCTGATAATATCCCCAGCTCATCTGAATGATGGTAATCCTAGCTTCTTCTTCTTCTTCTTTTAAGCATACAAAATGATTCCAGCCTATACAAACAAAAAAGAAATCCCAACGAAATCTACGGAGTATTTGTTGGAGCTGTGCTCTACGTTCCATCAATAAAGCGCAGACTTATTCCTTAATTGAATAGTAAAATTTCATATTAAATTTATTTTTTATTTTTAATTATGATTCTTTGAATGGCTGTAGAAAAAGATTTTAATATCCAAATTAATTATTTACTAAATAAAAAGTTAAGATGTGTTGAATTCAAAATTTATTCGTAAATAACAGCTGACCTATTTAGAAGGCCTGCCCTATGAGTGAATGACTTGAGAACCTTTGAGTGAGTATGGGAGAGAGAGGAGAGAGACAGATAGAGGAAAAATAATTAGAGAACATTGAATTTGTGGGGAAATCAAGAAAATTTTAAATCTCAACTAGTATAAAATCAACTAAAATCACTCAAAAAGGATAGAAAAATGTTTCTAAACTATTCTCTCTTTTCATCTCTTATTTGTAGAATTATGAAGTGCTACAAAAAAGGCTATACCAAAAAATGAAACTATAATATTACATATACTATCAAGATACATGTCATCTTCTGATTAGCTAAAAGATGACGAGGGTTGGAAGGGATCTGTACAGTAGTTTTTGGGCACGTGAGCTCTTGAGTAGTGTCTATTTGACGAGCAAGCTTGGGTGAGTCTAGTGTAGGTGTTAGGTTGAGATGAGAGGATAAGCGACCATACCGACTTGCTTAATGTTGTCTGTGTGAGAAATTTTCAGATCGTAGAAAAAAGAGCGGATGGAAGGGAGAGGCCGGCCTAAAGTTGTATGTTTCTGTTGTATGATGAACTGAGGGTCTTGTGAAATAGATACTTTAAAGTAGCTGGTCTTTGTAAGCTAGCATGAAAATGATAGCTATATATGAGAGATTGAAAACTAAGATGGCGGCCCAAGTATGTGGTGGGTGACATGTTGCTAGCCTGGGAGAGAAGGGAGTGGTCTTAAGTATAAAGGGAGCTTCTTAGCAAGTCCAACTGAGTAGTACTTGATCGTGTTGGGTGAGTTCTTTTGTGGGTTCTAAGATACTAGTCCTCTCGAATTGTTAGGCGAGTTTTCTCTCATAGACACCTCTTGATGGCGAGTTCTTTGTCATGACCGCTGACTAGCTGTAAATAACTATGAAAAGCATATTTGAGTATATCAAGGATGAGCCTGTATTAAAATTAATATATCCACTTCTCCAAATGAATACAAAAATAGAATACATCTTTACAAGTAAATGAGTTAAATCTAACCAAACAAATAATGACTATGTCTAAATATTTAATCATTCAAATAACATGAATGATTTTTAAAACAAAATTAAGTAATTCATAATATAATATATTTAAATAAAAAATAATATCATTCTCTCGACCAGTAAATACATAATAGCGATTAAATGAAAGTGATATTTTTATTATGCGGATAATATAGTAGATGAAAAATAACCATTTGTATTTAAATAGATGAAAATCATTTAAGAAAAAAAAAAAAGCTTCAACTGAAATAACCTAAATGGAATAATCATTGTCACTGTAAATAGAACTCCTTTGTCTCTCTCCAAATGTTTAAAAGCAGCTTGAGAAGCGGTGAGAAAAGAAACGGTTTTCATTAATAAAAAAGCTCCATTAGACTGATTAAAATTTTTATATATCTCTTCATCTTTTATATTAGTAAACATAATAAAAAAGTCTCATTTAGAATAACTTCTTTCTATTTTTTGAAGTAGTATTGTATTTTAATACATAAATTAATTTGAATTAAAATTTTTTAATAAAAAATTAGCTTTGAAAACAATAAAAACTATTTCAATAAAGCTTAAGCATTACTTAGTTGTTTATGTGATATTTATCTGCCAACATTATTAAAATTAATTTAGGATATATAATTTTTAATTTATGGCTTGACTTT